TGAATTTTAGAGACAGGAGGGAGGTGGGGCGGCAGAATTCTGAATGCTAAGGGAGGGGAAGGTGCCCTAACTAGGGCTTCCATGTCACTTTAGTGGCACTTTGTCCTCTAGTGAAATTCGGTGTAATTTTTATCTGAACCGTTATCAAATTTTTACCCGGAAACACCCAAGACTCTAACTTTAAGTAATTAGCATTAATTTTATCTAATTATCATGTTCATAACTTAGAAATTTGATTAGTAGATCACAAATCCACTAACAGTTGTTTAATTTCATTGTAGTCTTTACCGATGTTCTTAACTGTACTCCGATTTCATAATCTTCCTAACTTTAATATTATTGATCTAATTATGACTTTTTAGGCACATATTGGTCTTTCTTTCCATTTTCTCATCTTTTTTCTCGTTCCGGGATTCTATCGACTGCTTCTACAACAGTACAAAATACCCGGCAGAAGTGACTTTTCCAAAATACCACAATATGGGTATCAAACTTCATCAAATCATAGACTAACCTCATATATGATAATCATATCATCGAAATAGCTCTCTTACTATAATTTGCTAACTTGGAGCTATTCTACTGACTGTTACTGCATCAGCAGTCAAAAATATCAAATGAAAATTCACCTGTGTAAAATACCCTCAATATGGATATCAAAATTCTTAAAATTTCATCCTCATTCCATTCATCCACTAACAATATGGCTAGCCTTTAATTAATTTATAATCCAATTGTGTCTAAATTTCCATGACATGAATTAGAATCAACTAAGGGAATTTAGAGTTCCATATCCACATTCACTATAGATTTAACGGGTCGCACATTAATATTTTTTCTGTATATAATAAATAATTTTATCTCTTGCTTATACATAAAAATGAATGAGACCTATAAAAATAAAAGAAAAATAGAAAAAATGGATCATCCTCCCTTCATGTATATATAACTAATAAATTTATAAATAAAGTTATGGTTTAGTTATAGTAGAAATATTACATCCTAAAACAAATACCTATATAATTTTCTTTTATGATTTAATTTTCAAAATAGAAAAATATTTTCAAAATCAAAAATCAAACAAACGCAAAAATAATTGTATTGCATGTGAGCTCACTGCCTCCTACCATACACATGAGCTTGATCAGAAAGAGAAACCATATCAAGCGCTGATAAAGTGTACCTTGTCGTCATTTGCCAAACGCGAAAGTAAGGGTGGAAAAATGGATTGACACAACACATATTTAATACTAACAAGAAACTGTTCAACCCATACACGACTCATATTTGTTGACAAGTCAAAAACTCAAACTCAAACTCGGGTAAAATAGGTCAACAAGAAACGACAAGACACAAAAAATTGAGAATTTCTTTTTTAAAAAAAAGAAATTAAGACAAATTGCAGAAAGCTGGCAAATTTTTTTATCCATATATTTTTTAATGATGTTGCAAAAAACTCTATTCGCGCAACAAGTACACCTTCGTAAGTTGGACAGATAAGAAGACATTTGGTAACAAAGGGTATACTTGTGCAACAATCATACTTAGGCTAAGTTAGCTTTATTTTTGTGTTATTCACTATACAATATAGATAGAGGTCACAAAACAGGTTCAACCTATCAGTTAGCTCGTTTAATTTGCCACAAATGGTTGGTTGGATTAGGATTTCCAAATCCGCTTAAACACGCCCTACTTTAGGGTGGTCAAAACGGGTTCAACTCGTATCGGGACGGATTGACCCGTCAGGTTGATTTTATATTTTAATTTTAATTTTTTAAAAACACTAATTAATAATATTTGTATACTTTTTTTTGTCTTCATTTGATACCATTTACATTTATGGGGAGAATAATTTTTTTTTTTAAAAATTCATTGGCTGGTAATCCACTTTCAAAAGCGGGGCAGGGCAGGTTGGGTTATTTTAAGGTGGATTAGAAGCGGAGCAGGGAGGATTAGGTCAGGTTACCTGCTCTGCCACCTCTTATAGATATAACTAGTGGTGTTTATCAACCGATGCAAATCGATTCAAATCGCAGTGATCGAAAATCAAAAAATTGAAAAAAAAAGCGCATATTTTAATTGAATTGGATCGATTTTTGGTTTGTTTAGTGAAAACCGATCCAATGTAATATGTATTTATTATTTTCGAAAGATGATGACTTAGAATCTTGTTGTTTTGTACACTTGAAATCTTGAATGTTATTGACAACAAACTATCTTATTTTATTTTTTATTATTATTTATTAATCTATTTTAACTCTTCATGAGTTTTAAGATTTGTTTGAGTTTGTAGACTTGAATTTTCAAGTGATTTGTAACTTTGAATAGCTTTAATTTAATATAGCTAGTGATTTGTATAACTGAAGTTTTAGGCTTTTCGAAAAATCAAAAAATTATTCAATCCAAACCGAATAAAATTGGATTGGAATGGATCGAATTTAAAAAAAATAAAACCCAAACCAAAGGGATTGAATTGAATGACTTTTGCTTCAAAACAAATGTAATCCAGACCGCGAACGCTCCTACATATAACAGTGGGTGGGGAAAAGGGGAAAGGGCTAAAAATTTGAAAAATATTTGATTACAAATAATGCCAGGTGTATTTCATTAAGAAAATGAGAGAACTTAGGAAAACGCCGTTGCAGTATTTAGTAAGAAAACAGGAAAAATTGGCGAAAGGAAAGAGAGAAAACCCTAAGTAAGTGTTTGGTAGGTGAGTAAATTTTAAAATCCTAGAAAAGTGACTTTAAAATTCTTATTTCACCATGTTTGGTAGAAGAAAATCTAAATTTTTCTTGAAATTTTTATATTCTCGCGATTTAACTTTACACATAAGAATCTCAATTCAAAATACCATTGAACATGTAGTATTTTAGAAATTCCACATGGTGAAAAAATATTGACTGATTTTTAAGACCAAAATACTTAACATTTTTGAAAATATTTTAACCTACCAAATAATTTTTTTAATAATATTTTCAAAAAATTCTCTTTCTCACTATATTACTGTGAATTGTAATTGTTGGGTAAAATAAATTTTTTTCTTTATCAAATGCCCTCTAAATTTTTTTTCTTTTATAATATTTATGTCTAATTACCAAAATAAAACCCTCACCCAGTAATTGACACGTGTATTTGTGGGTTAACCCATTATCAGTTAAAAAAAACCTATATTATTTTTTTAAACTTATACAGGACCCGTTAAAATCCCGGGATCTGGCGTGTATTTCGACTGTTGTATGACGGCCGAGATGCAAGTCGTGACACATTTTATCACCCTTGTGATGACAAAAGAGAATACAAAACAAATAAAAGAAAGAACCTTATGGCTTATGTACAGGCGTATAGCTCACACAATCATAATTTAGTGGGGGTCCAATTTGGCAACGGTTCGTCTACTGCACTCTCGTGAGAAGCGCGTAAGATTATGATGCTGTATGGGAGAAGAGAAGAAGCGAAATCAAATTACGCGAATCCAACGTTGTTGAGTTTCCACCCAGTGAATCATATTCTGCCACGTAAGCAAATCGGAATCTTCCAGGGCTCCTATGTGCCACGTAGACGACACATCACTGTACACCGTCCACAGTTTTAATGTTCCTAAAAAATATCCCAACACCCACAAGAAAGGAATCATTAAAACAAGGCTAAGGTTTATTTATTAATGTATTTATAGACCACAGAAAAAGGCCGTGTGTTCCCTCAGGAGCAGACACCTGGCGTCGCCGCATACCACAAAACCTCATACCCTTCATTGCTGCTTTGCGGGTCCTTTCATTGTTACTGTGTAGTGTGTACCCTCCACACTGCCCTAGTTTCTCATTTTACAATTTTCACCTTAAAGCACGCCCTTGCTTTGTTATCTCACAATACATTTTTTTTTTTTACTAAATATTATTTTTGTTTCTTAATAAAAAATACGATTCTCACTTTAGTTTTTTTAAAAAAAAAATTAGTCAGTTAGTCCGTAACAAATTCAAAATGAACACATTTAGTTGAAATCATGGTCCCTCATAATTTCAAGAAAGACCTATATTAATCCCTCAAAAAGACTAAAATGAGTCCATTTTGAATTTGTTAAGGACTAACTAACTAATTTTTTTTATAAGAGACTAAAGGGAAGACCGTATTTTTTGTTAGAGACCCAAAAATGTATTTACGTTTTTTTTTTTTACTTTTACTTTACCTATAGTATTTGGTTGGACTAAGAAGTTTTTTTAATCATTTAAAATAAGAAATAAAAAACTAAAAGCATGTGTTTATATTTATAATTATATAACCAATCAAGGTCATTATATAACCAATCAAGGTCATGTAGTTGTTTATATTTTTTTATGTCTATTATATCATTCTTTTGCTTAATTATGGTATTCTCAAGCCCTCAAATATGATAGGTAAGACAAAGAGTTTTTACCATATTCAGTAGTTGTTGAAGTTGAGAAAGGAGTAACATTATAACATTATTTAATTAAAAATAAATTAGATCACTTTAAAAGAAAATGATTTTATGCAATGTTGGAGTAATTATTACACTAAAATAATTATTTTTTAGCCCGAAAAGATTTATTAAACACTCAAATGATTAGTCTTCTAACATTACGAAGAGATGCTTGATACTCTTCAATATCCAACCTAGCCAATTGAATAATCATCATATGTTCTATGCATTATATTATTGTAATTTATCATGCTGTCAACAACTAGTTTCTAGACTCAAAGCACACGTTCTTGCAACTGAATATAAATTAGTATAAGAAAGAAAAAAATAGTGTATAAGGAGAATTACTGAAGGAAAAGACACCAACAAATTGGTTTAATCTTCAAATATTATTAATTTGTAATAGGTGTTCATAATATTCAAGGGAAAGTTTGGAGTTAGAGTGAAAATCGAACTGTACAGTACAATACACAGCAGAGGGGCAGTTTCGGGATCCAACGGAAAACCAGGGATTTTATTTTATGAGTTACGTCAACACGTTACAACTTCTCTTTTTCTTCCTTCTTTCTTCATCCACCAGTAGTGAGAGAAAATAGACAGAAAAATAAAATCTCCAAAAAAAAAAAAGTGAGAGAAACAAAATGAGGAACTGTGAGTTGTGCAAAGTTCCGGCGAGGACCTTCTGTGAGTCAGACCAGGCAAGCTTATGCTGGGACTGCGACGCCAAGGTACACGGTGCAAATTTCTTGGTCGCAAGGCACTCCAGGACCCTTCTCTGCGACGCGTGCCGCTCCCCGACGCCGTGGAAAGCCACCGGCGCTAGGCTCGGCAACACCGTCTCCGTCTGCGAGCGTTGCGCCACCGGAACTACCGGAGAAGAAGCAGAGGAGAGTGAAGGAGACAATGACGACGATGTAGACACGGAGGACGACGACGATTTTTCCGGCGGCGAAGACGGAGACAATCAGGTGGTGCCGTGGTCCTTGACGTCACCTCCGCCGGCGGCGAGTTCCTCCAGCAGTGAATGTTCATCGGCTAGCTGGTGTAACGACAACGGCGATGGATCTGTTTCTGAACCTGTAACGACAGCAACCTCGTTGAAACGACAGCGTGAGGATGATGCTTCGGATCGTGATCTCCAGGTTTATTTTCTTTCTTTTGTTTCGAACGAGGAATAATTATTTTAGGTTTTTGAAATCATGACCGTTATCGAATTTGGGGGAAACCAATTTTATTTTTCTTTTTGTAAAAGCAGGAGGGTTCGAACAGTTCGGCATCTCAACGGAGGTGCGGTGGAGAGTGGAGAGAGGAGGTGGTGAGCGGCGGAGAACCGCCGTCGAAGGAGTGGCCGAGGCCGCATGGTAGAGCATCTGCCGGCATTTAATGTTGGTGAAACAGTTTCTCAGCCATATGATCGACGAGGTTGTAGCACTAAGATATTTGAGATCTTCGATTATTAAACCTCTACTAATCTTAACAGCTTACAGCACTAGTTGTAGCACTAAGATATTTGAGATCTTCGATTATTAAACCTCTACTAATCTTAACAGCTTACAGCACTTCTGGGTTTGGGTTTTGACCATTAGATTGCGGTGAATTTGGCGTCTATACTCTACAGTTAGAGGGTACATTTTTATTTTTATTTTTTTTGTAATAGAGGGTACATTTTTAGATGAAACGTGAATAGTAATGATTATATATTGAAAAATTATAAGAATAATTTTTTGTAATTTTATTGTTTATCATGCTGTTTAATATTTTGATAAAATTATATGTTCATGTTTTTATTATTTTCTCTTTTTTTCACGTAAAATTTATATATTTTTATGTGTCTATTAAGATATTTTTATTTCCTCGTCAGAAATGTTAATCTGTAAATTTATACTATAATTTATAATTTCAGGATCTTCCTTGTCGACTATGTTTTCCTCTCTAGTGTAGCAAATTCTAGTTTTGTTAGTAAATTGTTGTGTATTAAAATCGATTTTTTTTTCTTTATCGTATTTTAATATAAATGTTGTGATGGTGATGTAAGCTTTCTTAGCTCTTTTTTTTTTTTTTTTTTTCAATTATACGACTATTATGTGGGTATTTTCTTTCGGTGTTTGGAAGTCTATTAATGAGATAATACTATTGACACATCACACATCGAATTATGACATGAATGAAAATATCAGGGTGAAAAGGCAGTACCCAGCAGTTCCAAATACTCTTTTGATCTGGAAGGATGAAACTCGAGAGACAAGGGAGGTGAACTAGTGGTTGCGTGATGGCAATTTTTTTCCTTTTCCTTTCAAGGTTGTAAGATAGTTGCGTGTAACACTGAGGATATGTGCGTGTCATGCCCTACAACCTCACAACAACCAAATGAATCGTGAAAATAAATGGAAGAATAATGTACTTTTGTTATAAAAAAAAAATAAAAATAAATGGAAGAATAATGTACTTTATCAAGAAGCACGTCATTTTACGTTATTTTTCTTTTAGTAAAATCAGAATAAATAAAAATTAATTAAATTTAAATTTTGATCTAACAATAATAAAATTAATAATAAGAGGTAGGAAAATAATAGTAATTAACTATAATTTATCCCAAGTAATGTATATGTCAGTAACATTATTCTAAATTTTAAAGCAACATCCTTGGTGTTGCCTGGATAGGGTTGGCAAAACGGGTCAACCCGGCTCGATCCGGCCCAACCCACATTTAGCCGGAAAAAATGGAAATGGGTTGGGTCAGGTTGGTTCGAAAAAAAAAATGAGTCAGGAAATTCAACCCGGCTCGACCCGAGTCGGGTTAGGGTTGGCTCGATAATCAGCTCGCGGGTTGGCTCGTAAAAAAGCTCACGAGTTGGCTCAAAAAAAGCTCGCGAGTTAGCTCGAAATGATGCTAGTGGGTTGGCTCGCGGGTTGGTTAGCTCAAAATATTGGCTCGCAGGTTGTCTTGAGGGTTGGCTCAAAAAATTTAATTTTTGTGGTTTGTTCTCCTGTATAAAATTATTGTATTTTGCAGTCCAACTACAAGTAGAGTAGTTTACAAAATCCAAAAACATTAAATGAAACACAAACTACTCCACGAATAACAGGAGTCAGTTATCATGATTTTCTGAATTATTCTAACTCACGATAACCATAAAATATATATAAAGTCAAAAAATAAAAAATAAAAGAAATCCATTATATATTTCAACGATAAGCATCTAGAATTAAAAGCCAATCATGAAAAAAAAGGACTTGCAAAAGCGACCAATATAGTAAAGTCCATCAGTGGAGAATCCATCAGTAAAGTCCATTGTATTTTATTAAAAAAAAAAAAAGAGTAACCCGCGAGCTGGCTCGTTCAACCTGCGAGCTGACTCGTTTGAGCCCGAGTTGACTCAAGTCGGGCTAAATCGAACTTGCAGCTCATTTTTGTCAACCCAACCCGACTCGTTTTGTGCGGGTTACGAGCCATTTGCCACCCCTAGCCTCGGATAGTCTTGATAGTTGATACCATTAATATTATCATACTGTACTCTGAACATGCACCGCGTTATGTATCGGCCCTTACAATCTGGGAGCTAATCTAGTAATCCTCACCCGGACTAGTTACTTGCTTGGTTATAATTTATTTTAGGGATAAGTTATTTTATTTATCATTTTTTTTTTGCTTACTTTTGTCTATCATCTTTCAACATTATTAGATCAGAATCTTAACTAACATTTATCTTTTTCTCTCTTCTTGAGATTATGATTTAACGGTGTTGGAGGGTGATAAACAAAGGTAAACAAAAAAATGATAGGTAGAATAACTTATTTTTTTTTATTATTAGAAAAGTGTAATTTAATAAAATAAAATAAACAAAGACGCGTTCATTGTACGAGCATGATCCTTGCTTTATATGATGAAAAAAGTCATGCTAAGCTAGTAAAACCTTTTAAGAACCTCGGAAGTAAAAAATAAAAATAAAAAATAATTTCTCGTGCAATTATTGAAATTGCACTAGATCTAATTGCACCCCATTTAGTCTAATCACATTTTTTTTAAATGGTGATTTGTACTTGGTGTATCTAGGGGTGGTTCTATGTAGTGGGGTGAGAGATCTTGTGGTGGAGATTTGTTGGAGTTGTTTTAGGAATAGTGTGAGCCGTGAGGGTCTGAGGGAGGTGTTTGTGGTTGTCGTTCATGCTTTGTTTCTCGTCGAATTTCTTTCCTTTCAGCACTGTTCTCTGACATTGATATCATCGCCTACAGGATGGACGAATGGGAAAAAATCTACAATGCAGCAGATATATGATACGTTCCGGAAATTTTTTTAGGACTTAGATAGTAATATAAATCAAAAGCTGAATTTAAATGAAAAAATGTTTTTCACTTTTTGCACCAAAGTTTTGTTCGACTAATGGATCTGATCGTCTTTCTCTGGTTTCCCTCTTTCCTGTCCTCAGAAGCATTTCAGAATTCCACTAACCAATGACCTCATAGCTTATGGGCGTGAAAATGACAATAGAATTTTAACTCAAACTTTTGTCTTCACATACTTGCAGAGACTAGAGACTGATGGAGCTTTTGTTCGAGGAAATTTTTTTTAAATATTAAAGAAATATAATTATTAGAGAAATGGTTAGAAAATGAATTTGGTAAGAAAGTTAAAAGAAAGTTGTTTGGTTGGTCAAAATTTACTAGGGAAATTGAGTTAAATTTTGTCAGTCTTTGTTTGGTTGAAGATGAAATAATGATGGGTAAATATGTTGAAATACCAAAAATAACCCTGATTTAATTTTTGAATCCGATGATGGGTTAAAACAACAACAGTACTTCTCCTCTACCAGTCGCCTGCAACTCACATCGGACGGACTTAATATTGTCATGGCCAATCGCAAGGCCTCAAGGCCTTCGTCCCTAGCGTGGACCTCGTGGTACAGGATTGTCTCTCCTTCTTCACTTCCATCAAAAAAGACCCTAACTTTAATGGGTTGCATTGTTTTCTCTATGGTGAGTCAATGGGTGGTGCCATTTGCCTCATGATACATTCTGCTGATCCAAAAGGGTTCCAAGGTGCTATCTTGGTGGCACCCATGTGCAAAATCTCTGATAAGGTTAGACCCAGATGGCCAATTCCTCATATTCTTACTTTCATGCAAGGTTCTTTCCCACTTTGCCCATTGTTCCCACCCCAGATCTTCTCTACAAGTCTATTAAGGTTGTTCACAAGAAGGTCATTGGCTCATTGCTAGTATGAACCCCATGAGGTATAGAGGGAAACCCAGGTTGGGGATTGTGGTGGAGCTCCTAAGTTTCACTTTCCAATCCCCATCACCGACCGTCAGTAATCGAGGGTTAATATTCGAAGTTTGTAGCCGATAGTAATACGGTAACGTGTTCCTTCATCTTTTTGAGGTTGTCCAGCCTTTTCTAGAAATACTACCCTTACATTGGTCATTTGCAACAGTGATTTCGCTACCGTTTTGCACATGATTGTGGAAGGATGGGGGAAAGGAGAAGCCTAGCACAATTTTTCGATTCTATCTACCAAACAAGTGAATCATTGAAAGCCAATTTCATTTAGATGGGAAACCAAATAAAAAGCTTGAACCAAATGCCTGAAGGGGTTTTAGTTTTTTATTTTCAATTTTTTTAAATAAAGTATGCAGTGAAGAAAAGTTATTTTCATTTTTAAATGACATGCCTTTGGATTACTTATTTTATTTAAAACTTATAATTAAAATTTTATTTAAAAAAATTAGTATTTGTTCTTTTAAAAAATATAGAATTGTGTCATTTTAATCAAAATTATTATATTTTATAATGAAAGACATAGTTACACAATAAAAAACATAATAGGAGAAAGTAATTTTTTTAATTTAAGTATTAAATAAATAATAATAATTTTAGGACACGAAATAATTTTCTTTGTACATTTGTTTAGTCTTTATTGTTTAATTATAACCATTTTTTTCTTGTACATAATATTCTATTTCTGCTATTTTTGAGTGTAAGAGGGGAGGTAAACTTAAAATTTTGACAACATGCATTATTCGTTGAGGAATTCATTGTGCCAACAAAGGTGTTATGGATCCATATAAGGGGCCTAATTGATAGGCCCAACAAAGGACAATCCAAGATCTGAATCAATAATAATTATGGATAGATATCCATCAAGGATACTAATCCTAATACGACAGCATAGCAAGCAGGCTTGGGCCCTCACCAGAGGCACCAAAGGCCCATCCACGCTACCCACAGGTAACCTCTATAAATACAAGGTAAACCCTAAAGGTACGTTACGCTCTCTCTCTTACTGTTATGTTGTCACTGTGCGCACACACACACCCCATTCGCTAAAGCCGTTATAGTATTCTGTGCACAGTACTTGACTCAAGGGTATCTCATCTATAGATACCTTGGAGAGGGCATTAGATCCAAGAGAAACATACCAGCCTATTGGGCTAGACATTTCTGTCCCAAGGACAGAACATTGGCGCCGTCTGTGGGGAATTCTTCTCTGAATTTGAAGTTCCCACCAATCTGACAAAGGATGGCAATCCAAACAAGGAGCAGTAGCCAACAGTTACCCCAAAACCAGAATCAACCGCTGGATCCAGTCTTGAAAGAGGTAAATCAGCCTCAAAACCAGCTAGGAAACGACGTGGATTATGATCACGTCCATGTCAGCGAAGATGTCTCCGACACTGCTTCCACTCCAGTGCGTCGTGATAGGGGTCCTGATCCAATCATGGCTCCAGTGAGGAACAACCCTCCCTAGCGCCCTGAG